TTAATGCAGTCTTCGTTTCTGCCTGGGTCTTTTTTTATGGCATTGAGGTACCTAGTGAGTTCCTGAAGCATCCTGATAACCAGTATTTTGAATTGTGCATCTGATAGGTTGCTTATCTCTGTTTTCTTTAGTTCTTTTTCTGGAGTTTTGTTCTGTTCTTTCATTTGAGCCATATTTCTTTGTCTCCTCATTTTGGTAGCCTCCTTGTGTTTGTTTCTGTGTATTAGGCAGAGCTGCTATGACTCCCTGTCTTAGCGCACCTGTTAAGTCATATGGCTCGGAGCCTTAGGTAATTTCCAGGGTGGGGCAACCCATATCACTGCTCTGTTGCTCTGCGTGGGGTAGGGCTCACAGAGGGGACAATGCTACTGCCTGGCCTCTGGAGTTTTGCTCAGGAGGAAGCTGTCTCCCCACTCGCTCTTCACTTTCTCTCTATATGCCACTGGTGCCCTTCCAGCTGTTGCTCTGGTCCTGAATCCCAGAGTGGGTGGGTCTGCATGAGTCCTAAGTCTGTTGCAGGCCCCTTAAGATAATGCAGTTTCTTTTACCATCCGAATCTCTACTGGTTTTTACAACCAGAAGTTATGGGGACTTGTCTTCCTGGCTCTGAGACCGTGGGGTGGGTGGTCTGGACTGGGGCTGGGATCCCTCACTCCCGAGGTATCCCTCCCATTTTTTATCCACCACATGTGGATGTGGGACCACCTGTTCCCATATCCGCACCTCCCCACACCTCTCTGAGCCTCTGCCCCTCCTTCAGCTCTGGATGAATGTGGCTTCTTTAAATCCTTGGTTGTCAGACTTCCACACAGCTTGATTTTCTGATAATTCTGGTGATATGTGTTTTGTACTGTAGCTGTATTTTTTGCTATAGTTGTGTACAGAGGCAAAGTGTGTTTACCTACACCTCCATCTTGACCAGAAGTCTGTTTTGGAATTTTATATTTAAAAAGCCATATGGTTTTACTCAGTATCATATCTGTATGCTTCATCAGTGCTGGTGCATAAAGATGTAATGTATTCATTTTCATTGCTACATTAGCATTCTACTGTATATGACTGTACGATAGTCTCTACATTCTCCTGCTGATAGAAATTCAGGTTGTTTCTAGCTTGGGACTATTTTGAATGATGCTGCTAGGAACCTTCCTGTACATGTTTGGCTGCATATATGCATGCATTTCTCCAGGTTGTGTATCTAAGGATAAAATTGTCAGACCACAGAACGTGTATCTCTAGACAGTGCCAAACATGGCACTGTCACAAACTTTATGAAGTTGTTGAACAAATACATGTACATTTCAACCCAGCTTCAGATGTTTATTCCTGCTGCTTCATGGGGCTACAGTTGGTATTGTCAGTAATTTTCACCAATCTGGCATCTCATTGCCATTTTAATGTTTATTTCCTGATAATTAATGAGATCAAGCACATTTTCATGTTTATCGATCAGTCGAATTTCTTATTCAAAGTGTCTATTCAAAAATTTTGTTCATTTTTCTTTTGGGTTGTTTGTTTATAGCAGAAACCTCTAGTGTCTGCTCTTGGCTCATCTCTGATTTCAGTAGCTATTATGGTGAACAGATTTTTATTTATTTTTTACTTTTTATTTTGACATAATTTCAGACTTACATAAAAGTTGTAAGATATTGGGGTGATCACTTCAAAAATTGTATAAATGTCTAATCACTATGTCATACACCTGAAACTAATATAATATTGTATGTACAAAATTATTTTTAAAAGTTGCAAACACAGAACAAAAAAACCCTATAACCTTTCACCTGATTCCCAAATGTTAACATATTGCCACATTTATTTTAGCCTCCTTTCAGTAGGTACCTTTTCTCCCCCTTAATTTGAAAGCCAGTTCTGGACATGATGCCTCTTTACCCTAAATCTTTCAGTGTGTGTTTACCGAAAACAAGGACATTCTCTTACAGAGACATAGTACAGTTAGCAAAACCAGGGAACTAATACTGATACATTAACAGTGTCTCGTGACATACAATAATGTTTTACCTGCAGACCTTTTTCAGATTTTGCCCTTTGTCCCAACCATGTCCTCTACAACTGAAGAAAATTCAAGATCATGTTTACATTCATTTATAATATTTCTTTTGCCTCCATCAATCTGTAACAATTCCTGTTTGTTTTGCATGACATTGACACTTTTGAAGAGTATGGATCAGTTATTTTGTCAAATGTCCCTCAATCTGAGTTTGTCAGATATTTCTTCATGATCAGATTCAGCTGATGCATGTAGGCAGGAATATCACAGAAGTGATGTTGTGTTCCAAAACATCATCTTAAATCCCAAAATCAATCTAATACATTGTTCATTTATTTTTCAGAGACAAGAGATTATTGAGTATAATATTAGGAATTATAACATAATGAAAATGAAAACAGCCATGGAATGAGAGAAGAGTACTGAAGTACACGTATTAGATATCAAATAAATAGAGGATAATATAAAAAATACATCAAAAACAGTGATGTAAAGTCCAGCACAGGAAATATAGTCAATAATATTATAATAACTATGTACGGTACCGGGTGGGTACTTAAATATTGGGGGACCTGGTTGTAAAGTGTGTGATTGTCTAACACTCTGCTGTACTCCTGAAACTAAGACAAAATAATATTAAATGTAAACTGTCATTGAAAAATAAAATAAAAAAAGAAAGAATTCCTATAATTAAATAGAAAAAAGGCAGACAACCCAGTAGGAAAAAAAATGGCTAAAAGACTTGACCTGGTTATTTCTAAGGTAGGAAATCCAAATAGACTAAATGTATTAAAAAGTGCTCAACCCCATTAGTAAACAGGGAAATGCAAATTAAAATACAACAAGATAACATTATATGCTTCACGTATTGACTCAAGTGAAGTCTTCCAATACCAAGTGTTAGTGAGGAGACAGTCCTCCTGGTTACACCAGAGTTTAGTCAGCCAACCGCCGCTTAGGACAAGAGGTGGCTTTAAACGAGGAAAACTCAAGACAGGCACACTCTCTCTGATTCAGCAATTCCACAGATGCAGAAAAACTCCTGCACCAGCAAGGAAACGCAGACAGTATTCATAGTGTCATTGTCATAACAGGCAAACTGTTTATTGGTGAGAGAAGGGCTAAACACATCATGACACATTTGCCCAGGGGAACACTCTACAGCAGCGCTCCTCAAATTGAAGCATGCACCAGAATCACCGTGGGGGCTCTGTGTCCACACAGACACTTGTCCACGAGTGTTCCTGAGAGCATGGTTGATTACACTCAAAGAGTAGAAACAAGCCAAGTATCCGTCTGTGGATGAATGGATAAACGAATCATGACCTATCTACACAGTGGGTATTACTCTGCTGTAAAAAGGGAAAAAGTACTGACACAGGCTGCGACGTAGATGAACCTTGAAAATACTACGTTAAGTGAAAGAAGCCAGACACAAAAGGCCACATGTTGTGTGCTTTTACTTGTCTGAAATATTCAGAATAAATAGGGAAATTCATAGATACAGAAGGCAGATTAGTGGTTGCCAGGGAAAATGGGGAGTGATTGCTACTGGGGGTTTCTTTTGGGAGTGATAAAAATGTCGCGTTATTAAATTGTGATCATTGTTGCACAACTCTGAATATACTAAAAAAGGTTGAATTGTACACTGTAAGTGGATGAATGTACGACATATGAATTGTATCTCAATACAGCTGTTTAACAATCACACAGGCATGTTTGGGCTCCACCCCACAGAGCACCTGATTGGGGGATCTGGGCGGGACCCAAGCCTTTCCCTGCCCAGCAGGTTCCTAGGGGAGGTGGATCATGGCTCCAGGGCCGTACTTAGAGAACCTCTGCCTTGGTGCGATCCGAGGAGCACGTTACCCATACACGAGTATACCAAACCATTCCAAACCATCATTTACTTGGCTTTTTTGAAAACTTAAGACCTTAAATATCCTTTGATGATTGCCTCCTGGGTGCCAGGGCATCCCCGCTTTATTCCCTCTCGACTTAGGAAGGCTAAAACTAGCCACTGGCCAGGTAGCAGCGGCAGGACCTTTCCCCCCTTCTCTTCCCTCAGCCCCCCCTACGCTGGCATTCACCGCTGCCTGTCTGCCCCACAGGGCTCCCAGCCACTCCGCTGTCTTCCTGCTCCCCTTCCACCCCGGAGGCCTCCTTATTGGAAGACTGCCCCTCAAGGCTTGCTTCCCTCTTAAACTGCACAGGCATCTATCTCACCGCAGTCCCCCGTGTACAGAGGCCCCCTATCGGAGTCCACAGGGCCTTTGTTCTCTCCTCTGAGGTCCAGGTTAACTGAGAAGGGATAGGTGAGGGGAGCAAGGTTTATTGAGCACCAAATATGTGCTAGGCACTGTATTAAGTGTCTCTTATTTATTCTCACAGCTGCTGTATGAGAAATCTACGTGGACGCAATGGGTACTTCTGAAGAGGTGAGAAGGCGGGGGCATGAGGGGAGTGGCAGGAAGCACAGTGGACTAAGCCAACAGGGCCAGACGGTGAAGGACCCCAGGAGCTGGGGCTTCATCCTGATGGTGGTGGGGATCTGTGGAAGAGAATTGTGACAGGGGTGTGACATGTCAGCTCTGAGTTTGGGGGAGGTCCTTCTAGTGACAGAGTGGGGGCAGGCTGGAGGAAGCCTGGAGGAGAGGAAGCTGAGGCAGGTGGAGAGGGCAGGTATGGGTCTGGAGGATAACCCTGACCCTGAACTGCAACAGAAGGGGGAGTGAAGGGGCGTGGAAGGCAGAAGGCTGGAGAGCAGCGGTCTGGCGCTGTGCAGAAGCTTTTAGTTTGATGCAGTCCCATTTATTTATTTTTGTTTTTATATCCTTTGCTATTGGTGTCAAACCCACAGAAATATCGCTTAGACCGATGTCCAAAAGAACATGCTGTCCTTCTATTATACCATTTAAGCCTTTTGGATGCAAGGCGCAGGAACAGAAACTCCAACTCAAACTGGGTAAAAGAAAAAAGGGGTGTTTATTGCCTCATAAAACAGGACTAGCTCAAGGGGCAGCTTGATCCGTAAGGTAGAACTCCATCGTCAGGACTTGGTTTCACAGCCTCTTTCGGTTCTGCTCTGCTCCGCGCGCGGACTTTATTTTCGGTCAGGCCCTGGCAGTAGCACGACGGTGGCTGGGGCTAAGCTCACAGCCTCGAATCATGAAATAGAACGGAGGAGAATATGCTTCTCTCAGAAGTGCCAGTGCAATGGTTAATTTTATGTGTCACCTTGAGTGGGCCACGGGGTACCCAGGGATTCGGTTAAACATGATTTTGGGTGTGTCTGTGAGGGTGTTTCTGGATGAGATTAACATTATAATCAGTAGACTAAGCAAAGCAGGTGGCCCTCCTCAGTGTGAGTAGGCCTCATCCAATCCACTGAGAGCTGAAACAGAACAACAACGTGGAAATAGGGAGAATTCACTCTCTGTCTGCCTGGATGCTTGAGCTGAACATCAGTTTTCTTCTGCCTTTGGGCTGGAACCATCAGTTGTCCTGAGCCTTCAGACTCAGGCTAGAGCTACCCTGCCAGCTCTCCCGGCTGCCCGGCTTGCCATCTGTAGACCTCCATAATCACATAATCGAATTCCTTATAATAAAGCTCTTTATGTATCTCCTGTTGGCTCTGTTTCCGTGGAGAATGCTGACTAATATACCCAGCAAAGATCTCTGTTTCAATGATCTGTTGCAGTATAACAAACCATTGCAAAGTTTGGTGACTCAAAACATAACTATTTATTATTTTTCATCATTCTTCAATATGGTCTGAGCTCAGCTGGGTGGTTTTATTGCTTCATATGATATCTGTGAGGGCTGCAAAGTCCAAGATACTTTTTCACTCACGTGTTTTGGTGCCTCAGCTTGGATGGCTGAAATGCTTGGGCTGTCCAGGCCTCTGTCTACTTGGCTTCCCCTAGCTTGGGCTTTCTCACAGAATGGGTGGCTTAGGATAGCCAGATTTCTTTCGTGGAGGCTGAATTGCAGGAGGAAAAGTAAAAGCTGCCAGGCTTCTTAAAGACTAGGACTGGGATAGTCACGTGTCACTTCTGTGACATTATCTTGGTTAAGGGAAGTCACAATTCCATCTGGGATTCAAGGGGCAAGAACATAGACTGCACTCCTTGATGGCAGAAACAGAACATGCATACAAGGAAGGGAGAGATGGTTGGGGTCCATCTGGGGAGACAGTCACCTGGTGACCGTGGGTTCTATTGAGTTCTGAGCCTGGATTAAATTAGTTTGTTTACAGACTGATGCTGGGACCTGAAAAGGAAAAAGGGAAGAATAGACATCAGGGGTATAACCACCACATACCCCTCCCTGAATCCAGGACTGGAATATGTTGAATGCCTGTCAGAATCCACACCTAGAGCTAGATGGGGTCAACCCTCTCCAAATCTGTCTGCTACAGGTTTCATTTTTTCAAACTTTTAAAAAAAATATTTTATTGATTATGCTATTACAGTTGTCCCATTTCTCCCCTTTATTCCCCTCTGTCCTGCACACCCCCTCCCACCCACATTCCCCCACTTTAGTTCATGTCCATGGGTCATACATATAAGTTCTTTGGTTTCTACATTTCCTATACTATTCTTAACCTCCCCCTGTCTATTTTCTACCTACCATTTATGCTACTTATTCTCTGTACCTTTCCCCCTCTCTCCCCCTCCCACTCCCCTGTTGATTACCCTCCATGTGATCTTCATTTCTGTGGTTCTGTTCCTGTACTAGTTGTTTGCTTAGTCTGCTTTTGTTTTTGTTTTTGTTTTAGTGTGGTTGTTAATAACTGTGAGTTTGCTGTCATTTTACTATTCATATTTTTTATCTTCTTTTTCTTAGACAAATCCTTTTAACATTTCATATAATAAGGACTTGGTGATGATAAACTCCTTGAACTTGACCTTATCTGAGAAGCACTTTATCTGCCCTTCCATTCTAAATGAAAGCTTTGCTGGATAGAGTAATCTTGGATGTAGGTCCTTGCCTTCATGACTTGGAATACTTCTTTCCAGCCCCTTCTTGCCTGTAAGGTCTCCTTTGAGAAATCAGCTGACAGTCTGATGGGAACTCCTTTGTAGGTAACTGCCTCCTTTTCTCTTAGAATCTTTCTAAGATTCTCTCCTTATTTTTAATCTTGTGTAATTATGATGTGCCTTGGTGTGTTCCTCCTTGGGTCCAACTTATTCGGGACTCTGAGCTTTCTGGACTTCCTGGAAGTCCATTTCTTTTGCCAGATTGGGGAAGTCTCCTTCACTACTTGTTCAAATAAGTTTTCAATTTCTTGCTCTTCCTCTTCTCCTTCTGGCACCCCTGTAATTCGGATGTTGGTATGTTTAAAGATGTCCTGGAGATTCCTAAACCTCTCCTCATTTCTTTGAATTAATGTTTCTTCATTCTTTTCTGGTTGAATGTTTATTTCTTCCTTCTGGTTCACACTGTTGATTTGAGTCCCACTTTCCTTCCCATCACTATTGGTTCCCTGTACATTTTCCTTTATTTCACTTAGCATAGCCTTCATTTTTTCATCTAATTTGCAACCAAATTCAACCAGTTCTGTGAGCATCCTGATTACCAGCATTTTGAACTGTGCATCTAATAGGTTGGCTACCTCTTCATCGCTTAGTTGTATTTTTTCTGGAGCTTTGATCTGTTCTTTCATTTGGGCCATTTTTTTTTTGTCTCGGTGTGCCTGCTACGTATAAGGGACAGAGCCTTAGGTGTTCACCAGGGTGGGGCAACCCATGTCACTGCTTTGTGGCGCTGTATGTTGGTAAGGGGTTGAGAGGGAACAATGGCACTTACCAGCTCTCTGCCAGATTTCAGTCACTTCCCCCACTACCAACAAGCAAAGTGGGCCCTTCTTGTGCTGATTCCCAGATGGGTTGGCTCATGTACATCCTAGGACCCTGTGGGTCTTTCCAACAAATTCTCCTGTGAGGCTGGGAATCTCCTGCTGCCTCAACTCCCACAGGTGTTTTCAATCAGTGGTTTGAGGCTTTATCTCCCCAAGCTGGGGCCCTGGGTTGGGAGGTCTGTCTCGCTCCCCAGGTGTCCCTCCCAGTTTATCCTCATGTGAATGTGGGACCGCCCGCTCCACCAGCTGCCACCTTTCTGGTCCGCCAGCTGCTGTCTTGTGCTCCCTGCTCCGCACTGGGCCCACCAGCCACCACCTTGCCCACCCTGGTCATCCACCACCACTTTGCCACAAGTCCTCTCCACCTAGCTGCCCATCTCCGCTCCTCCTACCAGTCTGGATGGATATTTCTTCTTTAACTCCTAAGTTGTCAGACTTCCATACAGTTCAATTTTTCTGTCAATTCTGGTTGTTTTTTGTTTTTTGTTTTTAAATTGTGGTTGTCCTTCTTTTGGTTTTGCAAGGAGGCACAGTGTGTCTACCTACGCCTTCATCTTGGCCAGAAGTCCTATTTTTTCAAACTTTTAAAAATTGTGATAAAGTACACAACATAAAATTTACCATTTAATCAATTAAAGTATATAGTCCAGTGGCATTATGTAAATTCACAATGTCTTATAATCATTACCATTATCCATTCCCAGAACTTTCTCATCACTACGAACAGAAACTCTGTAACCATTAAGCAATAACTCCCACCCAACCTTTCCCCCAGCCCCTGTTAACTTCTTTTTTAAAATCTATTCATTTACTTTTAGAGAGAGGGGAAGGAAGTAAGAAAGAGAAGGAGAGAAACACACAAGAGGTACATTGATCAGTTGCCTCTCACATACACCCCATCTGGGGACCTGGCCAACAACCTAGGCATATGTCCTGACTGGGAATCGAACCAGTGACTTTTCAGTTCTCAGGCTGGTGCTCAATCTAGTGAGCCACACTAGCTAGGGCCTGGTAACTTCTTTAAAAAAATTTTTTTGGATGACATTGGTTAATCAAATTATATAGGATTCAGGTATGTAATTCTATTATACATCATTTGTATATTGTATTGTGTATTTACCATCACAATGAAAACTTCTATTTTACCTTCTGTCTCTATGAATTTGCCTATTCTAGTATCTCATATAAGTGGAATCATACAATATGTGTCCTTTTACAACTTGTTTATTTCACATAGCAAAATGTCCTTAAGGTTCGTCCTTGTCATAGCATGTGTCAGGATTGCATTTTTTATGGCAGAATAATATTCCATTGTATGGCTAGAGCACATTTTGTTTATTCATTCATTCCTCAGTTGATGGACACTTGGGTTGTTTCTATGTTTTAGCTATTGCAAATAATGCTGTTGTCAGGCTGTGAAGAAGAGAGCCCCAGGGGAAGAAGAGAGGGAAGGAAGGTTAGGCAGAAATGTCTAGTCTGCCAGCTTGTCTAAGGAAGGTCTGGCAGGTGTTGGGGAGCCCTGTGTCTCCCAGGAATGGGCCTGCTTTAGTATCCCTCTTGTGCTAAGTTGCCAACCAGGAACATCCCATGGGAAACATGGCCTTGGTGCAAACACAGAGCACAGAAGCCCTTGGTCAGTAATAATCCCTTGTAGGTGGAGGTCAGTAAGGCTTGTTTTCATACCCCCATCTCCTCCTCCACAGGGCTACCAGAGGGATCTTCCTAAAATGTAATCTCATTGTACTATTCCTCTGCTTAAACACTTTCCATGGCTCCCCTGTGTCTTTAGGCTAAAGTCTCAGCTCCTTATCTCAGCTCTCAAGGTTCTGCTGGAGCAAAGGGGACAACTTACTCAATGTGTTCTATTTCCCACTGATCCTCACTCCTATGTGCAGCTTATATGCCTCAGTCACACTGGACTACCTGTTCTTCTCTTGATGTATACCTCTCTCCTTCCTCCATGCCTTTGCCTATGGTGTGCTGTCTGCCTGGAAAGCCTATCCCTATATCTCCCCAGTCAAAGCCTAGCTCAATGTCAAGTGCTTTCCCTAGCTTCCCAGGGTCAGTGAACAGCATAGTCTAGCTCTGTCTCTGGTCCAGGACGAGGTACTCTGGAGTAGGCAGAAGATTCCTGGCACTGTGTCAGGAGAACAGAACAAATAACTACCACAGTCTTCTCAGGCTTCTTGCCTTTCCTCCCAGCACAAGCTGGCTTTGTTTGGCCTCAAAATACTGTCATACCTCCGTCCAATCTCCACTGTGATTGAAGCAGAAATCCAGGACACAGAGTCCAGAGAATTCAGAGACAGAAGTCCCCTTCCCCGACTCCCATCTAGGCCCTTTCCACCTCCCTCCTCCACTTTGCAACCCTGCCTTCCTGGGCTCAGGATCCAACACTTTATTTTTAGAGCACATGTTGGATTGTGACTCCTGGAATCCAGCTTGATGTCTGAGATGTAACCTGACCCTGGGCTGGCACTGACCTTGAGCTCTAGCTGAGCAGGGGAGCAGTGACAGGGTCCAAAGGCAGTGCTGGGGCCAGGACCTCATGGGGAGACAGATCTTCTGCTGAGATCTGGAGAGTGTGGGGTTTCTACCAGGACACAAGCAGCTTTTACGACATGACCCACCTAAACTCCACCTCTGACAGTTGGGACCCAGAGGGACCAAGGTTACCAGCAGCAGAAGTGGGATTGAACTCATGTCCCCATAATGCAGTCAGGCTGCCCAAAACTGGAAAATGGAACAGTGATGCGGACCCTGGCTCGTGGGGTCTGCGGCGTTGTGGTTGAGACAAGACAAATTCACATGGACTACAGAGTCCTGTGGAGGGAAAGAGATGGCATGACCACTCTCTCAAGAGGGGAGTGCCTCAGAGTGCATCAGTCACTCTCTCAAGAGGAGAGCATGCCAACCCTTGCCTTGATAGGCTTTTATTGCTTTTCTGGGCACATTACATTGAGGATGGTCCTCATTTACTATGCACAGGTTTGCTTTAGGTGGTTACCTTTTACAGAAAACAAAGGAGAGGACACCACTAATCACATCACAGAAGAAGGATATTTGCAAATGCAAAGGGAAAAGTGGTTGAACTGGTTATACTAATCCTTGGAAGGCTTAGCATAGATTTTAGGGTGTTACTTTAAAGATATGCAGCAAATGCTTGCTGCCTCAATTCAGGGTTGAGGGAGTTTTAGCAAAAAGCAAGTCTCAAAGCGGCCCAGGTACAATGCAGGCCTGATTCCTCACGGGGAACCCAACTGTGGGCGTGGGTCCTGTGTCCTGGACCTCGCTTTCCACTGGCCTTTCCGAGTGGGAGCTGAGCCCACACCATACAGAATGGTCTCCTATAGAACAGAACAGGTTGTGTCCTTTTTTTTTTCTTTTCTTTTTAAATTTTACTTATTTA